TGAATCCCGACAACACCGGAAGCTTCTACGAAACGTCAACTTTCAAGCATGAGAATACGGATCCCGGCAGAAATGAACATTTCGGGGATTGCCCCATCAACGAAGCCTTGGTCTTTGTCGTCCATGACCATGAAATGCAAGCATTAAAAAACAGAGATTAAAATGAAAATTATGTGCTCCAGCTAAATAAAGTAAATTCCGAATTCATTGAATTGTTCGCAGGGTATCGATTGAAGAATTCCATGAACTTAGAATGGAACTTGAATCAGGACGCATGGTGGAAGCTTGGGTGGATTTCTCTGAATGTGGAATCGGTGCAACGAATTTCATTCGAGGTTTCATTGTTGACAGCTTTAAAAGCGGCAACGGTAAGAAAGTTACTCGTTAATTAAAAACGAGAGCAAAAAATCCGTAATTTTCTTTAACTTTTACATACATTATTCTGACCTGAAAGTTATAACATGGAAAAATGTCCGCAGGACAACTTGCATTGGTAGAAATGAATTTCAACACTGACGAAGCGAAAAACCCACGAGAAATTTTTAAAATGAAAGTTGACGATGAAAAAAGAAGAATTCATGCCTCTTCAACCCTCAATACAAGAACAGGAGGTGAAAGAACAAAGAATATAACCGTGCCTGAACAAAAATTACTACTACAGTACCTGTATATTAGCTCTTGAATTATTTCATTATTAAATTTTACCTCAGTGAACGTCAAAGACGACTTCTCTAAGATGAGTTGAATAAAATTGTCATCATCTGGCTATTTTTGTTCTGCGAGTTTAAAGCTTCAGATTAGGACCATAGATTGATTCAAAAACCGCTGTTCAATTTCCAATTATTTTTGAACCCACGGTTTAAATTCCCTCCATATAACTCGATTCTTCGTTCAGATTACGTCACACTCCACGCGGCTTGGCCAGAGAAAAATGAAGATGACCAAGTGAGATGGGAAGGAAACGTTGTTACTGTCTACGCAGACGGACGTGTTGAAGCAAAAATGCTACCACCAGTAAACGAGGCCATGAATTCTGACGATATTGGCAGAACAGTCCTCAGCAATTGCGTTGAAGCTAAAGCAGCATTTTTCTCAAAACGAAGTGAGACCTACTTATTTGAGAAAAAGATCGAAATTCAGAAAAATTTAAAAATCATTGCAGTGGAACGTGATGAAAAATACACTGGATTCGAAGACTTCAAAGACGAATTCTTTTCTGGACACTCGTCTCTCTTGGCCACGATATATGAAGACTACACGCTCAAGAGCGACGGGGATTTCCTCGGTAACATGGTAAGAATCCAAAAGAATTACATCTCAAAATTCTGGAAATTCAATCACTCGGGTTTGACTTTTAGATCCGAGGACAACGTTTGGAAAGTTGGAGGCGGCGTGGCGACGAAATCAATTTCTCCCAATACAGAATTTCCGAAGGTTTGACTG